ACCTAAATGTGTATACGGATGTCATGAACCTGTAGGTTGCACCAGATCCAGTGTAGGTTGCACCAGATACAGTAATGTGCAAGGCCTTTCCCCAGACATTGACGAACGCTGCTAGGGATTGGTTCGCCACATTAAAGCCTAATTCCATATCATCATTCTCTGACCTTGCTGATAAGTTTACCGCCTTCTTCGCAAGTATTAAGTGCATCAGGAAGACTACGGCAACCCTCATGCAGCTCCGCCAGGGCCCGAATGAGACTTTACGTAACTTCATAACGAGATTCAACAAGGAAAGACTGCAAGTACCCGACCTCCACATCACGGCGGCTGTTTCGGCTTTGACATATGCAGTGAGATGTGAGGCCTTCAAGATGTCCCTGTCCAAGACACCCCCGAAGTCTGTGACTGATCTTCTTACCCAAGGAGATAAGTATATCAATATGGAGGAGGCGATGAAGACTACCCCGAGCTCTGAGAAGCCTCAACTGAAGAGGTCACATGAACCAAATTTGAGACAAGATCATGATCGAGGAGAGCCTATACAGGATGGACCACCTGGGCCCTTCACCCACTTAAACACATCAAAGACCAACATATTTGCGGAGATTAGGGACATGGAGGAGCTTAAATGGCCCCCGAGGTTGCGGTCTCCTCCAGGGACCAGGGATAAAAATAAATACTGTGACTTTCACAAAGATCATGGGCACACGACATAAGGATGTGCGATGTTACAACGGGAGATTGAGGCACTGATCAAGAGGGGATTTCTGAAGACATATGTCAAACATGATAAACGTCCAAGGAATGATCACAACGAAAGAAGGACCTCAGGCTCAGGAGGAGATAACAGACCGACGGCTGGTACAATCAAGTAGTATTCCTCACCTTGTCTACTTAGTTAATTTTACTTTTATTTTTGTCTTTTATTTTGGGCTTGCATTCGATCGGGCTTGTATGCTCCGTGCATTTTTCTTCTAGTAGTTCATTTATCAAGGCCTACGAGCCTATGCTTGCTTTAAAACATAGAAAAGTTTATATGAAATAGCCATTGGGGAAGACCTAACAAAAATTTGTTGAAGCATTTTTCCCGAGGACATGCTACGGGCATGATCTCGTCGAAAGTCCCGTCACCAACGGGCCCTCATGGCATAGTGTGAGCAAAACTCCTCAATCATGCCATGAGCATACATCGAGACATGCTACGGGCATGATCTCCCCAAAAGTCCCGTCACCAACGGGCCCTCATGGCATAGTGCGAGCAAACTCCTCAAACATGCTATGAGCATACCTCGAGACATACTATGGGCATGATCTCGCCAAAAGTCCCGTCACCAACGGGCTCTCATGGCATAGTGTAGCAAACTCCTCAATCATGTCATGCATCGAGACATGCTACGGGCATAATCTCACCAAAAGTCCCGTCACCAACGGGCCCTCATGGCATAGTGCGAGCGAACTCCTCAATCATGCCATGAGCATACATCGAGACACGCTATGGGCATGATCTCACCTAAAGCCCTGTCACGAGCAGGCACCTAAAGACCAGTCACGAGCATGCACCAAAAGATATATCACGAGCAGCACCTAGGCCTCGCATGCGCTAGAACCAATGGCTTTATGAATACAAAATTTCATTCCAAGTAAAAATCCCGACCACATATACATCCCGAGCTTCTCTGGCTTAACTCTTTCTTAAAATCACAACCACAGAGCTCGGGACGTTATTACAAATTGGGGCTCGGGAGACAACGCACAAGCCTCATAATTTGTCAGAATCCCAAGCAAAGAGCTTGGGATATTTCATTTTACATTAGGCCTCGGTCCTCGAGCCTAGCACTGTCAAAATCCCAAGCAAAGAGCTCGGGATAGTTCATTTTACATTAGGGCTCGGGTAAGTCCTCGAGCCTAGTGCTTCGTCAAAATCCCAAGCAAAGAAATCGGGATATTTCATTTTACATTATGCCTCGGGGAAGTCCTCGAGCCTCATACTTTGTCAAAATCCCAC